ATAATCCGACTGAATAAGTGTAGTTCGTTTGCGCTGATGTTTAATAGTGCTACAATGAAAAGTTACCAAATTTTAATTGTTTTAGTGTAACGCCCCAGACTAAGAAACATCTTTTGCCTCTTAATTTTCCTATGTTCTTGTGCAATTGAGTGCTCTCGTATGAACACCTTAAGGGACTAGTCCCTGCTACCGGTCCCCTCGTGTAAACCCTTCAAAGACTTGTCGCCGGGACTAGTCGCACGGACTAGTCGCAGGGACTTGTCCGCTCGTGTGTGCCGACCTTAAAGATCACTTGCGTTACCACTTACCTAAATTTGGTAACTATTTCACAAAACTACGAAAAATCACGTGATTTCTGAGAAAGCGGTTCTACATTCAAAAAGTTGTTTTGCAAAGCCTATCATTACGTGTTTGAAGATTTCGTTTGTCATGAATTCGACGAGGAAGCACGATAAGATGCGATACTGTCTTCCGACATTCATCTTCTTAGACTCTTCTTGCCACTGGATCGGTCTTCCACCTGTTTTGAAGATGGTGGCAAGAGGATCGCGCTTCACATACCTGCCACGAAAGACTAGTGTTAAAGGGTAGTCGGCCAGAAAGTATGGTGGGTGATTCCCGCCAAAATTCAAGTCTTAATTGCTGTTTGATTTCTAAATTTTATGTGAGAGTGAATCTTATTTTGTCGAGTTTATATTCTATGCGGGTTTCTGATTTCCTGTGCTCTTCAAATTTTGTGACAAAATCAATTGAATCACACACAGCGAATTTTATGCTACACCAAACCTGTTCGGTCGGTACGAAAGCGTTCCGTCAACTTCTACCAGAAGTGGTCCATGTACGCGTCCTCCAGAGGTAGCGCTTGAATCCCCCTCCTCCACTCCCTCGACTGTTAAGGCACTCTGCAAAGGACGGACATACGCAAGTGCTTGTGCCAACCTTGACTGGTCTGCCTAGCTAGGTGAAAAAGATAGAACTTTAAGAGGCCGGTTTAGGCCGAAAATAAAATGGTCTTTGGCGGTAAAGATGGAGCAGCCGAAGTCAAAAGTAAACTGGAAACTATCTGCCCTAAGCTTGTGGAGGGGGCTGGGTTTGAAATCCTGCGTTTCTGGTGGAAGAAGTGATCCCGTT